CATGCCATTGGGTTAGTTCACCCAAACTTGAAATTTATGTGATAATTTACTCAAACATGACTTTTATTTTTGGAACACAAATAAAGAAATTTTCAGTGAAATCCAATATAAATTTCTGTCTATTTACCCAAAACATTAGACAGTTGATCATATAGCAATCATGTCTCTTCCAAAGATTTGAGCCGCTTTTCCACCGTCAGGCCAAACCATTTTTGTTGCTTAACCATTCCATTTTGTGCTGATCCGGCCCAAGCCGATACGGATACGGTTTATTTTTTCACTGTTGGGCTGTTAACAGAGCTCTTTGGAATGCAACATAAATGTATCAGTCGTTACCTTAGTAATGCAAGAGTTAGAATACGGTCCTAGATGTAAATAGCACATGTTATGAAAGATTAAATATTTATTTTAATTTTACTATTAACTTGTTTACTTCGCTCAAATAGCAGGCTTGGCCAGCTACAGAGAAACTGTTGGCTAAGCAAAAGACAAATGACAATCCTGAGCAGCGTCGTCACTCGAGGCATTCTACGTGCTGTAGAATGTCCGGCTAATAATTCCAGATCAAGAATGGTTTGTGATCAGACTTTGCCTAACCAAGTTCAAGTGGAAATATAACTGAAACGGCTCCTTACCATTCATTGAACAGTTTGGCCCAAAAGTAGATTACACTGCTCCATTCATACGGATTTATTTTATGGTTTCTTGGGTGTCAGAGTTTTGGGGTTATTCATCTTGAAGATGCACACTTTTTTATGGGATGGAATGACAGGACGGAGATTAAGTGGCATAATTTTCATTTTTTGTTGAACTAGGTATATAATCAACATTAATCTTTATAAAAATATCTCAGTAATTTACCAGCAAATACACATATGATGTGCTTCTTTAAGGTGTAGCTATGAGAACTTACAAAGCGGGTTAGTTGAAGAAGTATCTGGGTGATCATGAAGTAAAACAGGTAGGCCTCAGATGGGTGTGCACTGCTGTCAAATCTGGGTTCTAGAAGTAAAAAACAGGTTTAAGACATTCAAAAATTACAGTACAAATATGTTTGTCAAAGTGTCAATAAAGAAGTCAATGACATGGTTTATTTTAAATATCATTATTAAATATAATAAAAAATATTGAAAACGTTTAAGGTAGCAACATACATTTTTAGGGGTTGTAGGGTGTGAAGTGTTTTCTTAGATCTGTGAAAAAAATCAAAGAAATACAGTGGTTACATGTATACTTCATCCGCAAGACATTATTTTAATATTGTAAATAAAGTGTAGCACATGATTGAGTCAAAAACTGCTCTACTGCTGTAAAAGAGATTAAAAATGAAATACCTTACCTTCAGTGTACTGAGGTATGGTGTTCACCAGACTGCTGTTCAGAGAAGACAGCTGCCACAAGCACTTGTCCTAAATATGACAAATAATTCTTCAGTTAAAGGCAAGCTCCACTATTGTTGTGAATTGTAGATTACAGACACATTCATTCCTTGATATTTGCATACTTTACAAGAAAGAAAGAAAAGTTCTATACACATCTACTTGAGGCCTCAGTCATAAAAGCAATCGGAAAGCAGCATTTCCTCTGTATTACAGTAGTAAGTGTTTCAACACAGCAAAGCAATAATTACTGCAAGACAAAGAGCTCATTCAGTTTAAACCTGAAATGTGTGATCACGTGATGACTATGATTGTGATGTATTAAAAATATTGACAATAACATGATTAACTTAAATAACTTAAGTGGCCAAAGCCTCTAACACTAAATTATAGTGTTAACACTGCAAAAGATTACAGTAAACAATTAATTATCAGTGGCACATAAAGATTGACTTTAAAACCTACTGTGAGCTCATCTTGAGGACTCTTGACATGTTCTTGAATTGTACCTCTGAATTTTCATTTTTTAACTAGCTACACATTTTTTCAGTTTGAAAAGTTAAAACAAAGTCTTAAATTCGCCACAAGGTCTTTTTTTCTAACAGCAAAATAGCAAAGATCTTTGGTCAGTCAGTTAAAATTAGCAGCACACAGAAAGACACATTGACACAATTAATTAATTATATCCAAGTAAGGTAAACTATTGGATTTTACAGTGTTGTCAACATAGACCACATAATCAAAATTACACATGAAATGCATTTTTACTTAAAGGCACAATATGTAATTTTCACCGCTGAAGGGCGCATATTCAAAATAAACAAAGTGACAAAGGCGTAGTTTGATGACGCCGTGACTGTGTGGGGAGTCATGGGAGTTGTTGTCTTCATCCCCACAGCCAAAGCAATCCGACGGGACTATTGGCAGAAATCATGTTCATGGATGAGCTAATTATTTGTTAACAGTGGTGTATAAAGTACCTGAAAGCCATACTCAAGTAAAAGCACAGATATCTTACCAGAAAATGACTTTGGTAGAAGTTGAAGTCCCCGTTTAGAATATTACTTGAGTAAAAGTCTTAAAGTATGTGATATTTATTGTACTTAAGTATGAAAAGTTTTTTTTTTTTTTTATCTTAAACGTACTTAAGTATTGAAAGTAAAAGTACAAGTAAATGCAAAATGGAAAAGAAGCAAATCAATATATTTATAAAAAAAAGGTTCATACACAGCTTGAGTAGCAAGACTGTGTTCAGTAAGTTTAATGCTTTCTTCCATTTTGTATTTTTTGGTAAGAATAAGAAGCACTTCATCCGGTACTTAGTGTCTTTGATTCCAACATAACAAAACATTTCTAGAATCTGCTTCAGAAATAGCATTTAGATGTATTTACAAAGTTTAATGTATCTCAGAGGGGACATCGACGCATTTAAACTCCAGTGACAGATGCATAAATAGGCCTAATGTTTTGTTTTTAACATATAACGTTGAATACTGATATTTGAAATAATATAAAACATGAAAGAATAGTAGAAATGTGAAATTAAAACCGCCAGTAGGTGACAGCAAGTGACTGTTAATGAGTGAGTCATTGAGATTCAACTGATTCATTCATACACAGAGAAACAAAGCATTTAACTGTGTTAATGAGTGAATCACTGAATCATTTATTCAACCGATTTGTTCAAAAAGCTGATTACTTCAGTAAGTAAAAACGGTCCCTTGCTCAGAGACGCAAAACAGTGCTGTGATCTTTGTTTGGAACTATTTCTGTTGTTGATCAAAATTGAGCAAAAACAGGCAATATTATGTCTAAAATGTAAGTCACTTATTGCTTTACTGAACTTGTATAAAATGATTATTAAATGTGTTCATGCTGATATCTGCAGAAAAGCGGTACTCTTTGTGTGATATACAGTGGGTACGGAAAGTATTCAGACCCCCTTAAATTTTTCACTCTTTGTTATATTGCAGCCATTTGCTAAATTCATTTAAGTTGATTTTTTTTCCTCATTAATGTACACACAGCACCCCATATTGACAGAAAAACACAGAATTGTTGACATTTTTGCAGATTTATTAAAAAAGAAAAACTGAAATATCACATGGTCCTAAGTATTCAGACCCTTTGCTGTGACACTCATATATTTAACTCAGGTGCTGTCCATTTCTTCTGATCATCCTTGAGATGGTTCCACACCTTCATTTGAGTCCAGCTGTGTGTGATTATACTGATTGGACTTGATTAGCAAAGCCACACACCTGTCTATATAAGACATTACCGCTCACAGTGCATGTCAGAGCAAATGAGAATTAATAAATCAACGTGCATGCACTCTCTGTGTGTGATTTGGTGATATATACTCGATAATGTCAGATCGCACATCATTACAACAACACTTACCATATTATCGCAGACGATGCTGTATATTGCACACCCCAGCCTCGACTTGGAAAATGAAATCATCCACGGTTGTGCGCGCACTTGTTTGCACATGAGCAAAGGTGTTTTTAGGATTCTAACTTGAAGATGCCAGACCACTGATTCATCAATCCTGCTTTCCTGCAGTCTGTGTTCTTCTGACTTCTGACTATTTTGTAGTAAGTAACGAATATGCTCCAGGGAAATTTATTGGAGTAAAAGTATACATTTTAATTAGGAAATGTAGTGGAGTAAAAGTAAAAGTTGGCTGAAATATAAAAACTCAAGTAAAGTACAGATACTCCCAAAAAATACTTAAGTACTGTAACGAAGTATTATTACTTCGTTACATTACACCACTGTTTGTTAACGTAGTAGAATGAAGCAGGGTGAGGCTGAAAGCTGGCGAAGCGAAACAAGGCTACTGAACGAGCGCGACACACGACTCGAAAGCAGCGGAGCTTTTATTATGCCACAGTTGACCGCTTCCGCTTACAGTGGAAGTAAGCAGCGCTGTTTTATCATACTAGATACATTTGAAAGTTCTGTTGTTATGCTACTCTGTGCAGTCGTCACAGGTCTAATAAAACGCACAACATATTAAAGCGTCTTTGGTGTTTCCATGTTTCCAAATCGAGAGGTTATGACATCATTGGCAGGCGACACAATGACACTATGGACACGGTCCCTGTGTCACTAGTTAAAATTGCTAATTTCTCTGGATTTAAACATTCTTCGAAACATTCGGGATAATGTAAGTACACAAGTCAGCAAAATATATAACACTTTTCTAGTGGTTTTTGGATATTTTAATAAAAAAATCTTACATATTGTGCCTTTAATTCTCTTAATAAAAAAAAGTGTTACTGAATCTTTCTTTGATTAATATATGGTTAATATATTTAATTTATAATTAAATTTACTCCTATAATCATTTTAATTTATTGTTAATCAGAATAATTTATTTTTTTATTTATATTATAAATTTTTATTGTTACATTAAATAGAATATTCTTCATAATTATAGATAATGGCGTAGATATGTGGACTTTGCCTTGTATTAAATTCAAATGATGTGCAGTCACAGGTCTGCATATACTGTATATCTGCATATATTGTGACTCATCCAGTCAGAAATCATGTTTGGAAGTGTTGTTTTATAATTAAACCTTTGGATTGTCTGTATGCTTTGATGATTTACAGATTAAAATTAGAGCACTTTAAGACACACAGAACCAGTCTGTTAAACAGTTTCTTATGGGCAGGTTAGCCCCTTCTGCAACAATTGTTACAGTAAATTCAAAATATTTCACTAAATCCTCAAACATTGTTTTCACTTAATAAATAATGAGCAGAACTGATGTTTATCCATCAGAGATTTCCATGGAGGAACAGCTGTTTCAAATCAGTTTGCAGAACTACATCTGTTGACTGAAATTGATTCACCAGTATTTAATATTGTTTTAGTAACACTGACTGAACGTGAGCCATATGCTATTAGATTATTATGAAATAACCCACTTCTAAAAAACGACAGGTATTACCTTAAATATAATTGGTAATTAGTTAACTTGCAGTAAAACGCTTAATTGAGGTCCTCAGTAATGAGATAATAGAGACATACAAATGAGAGGTCTCTAAACAGTGCTGACCTGAAAAGAGTTGCTATTAAAGTATGCCATTTGTAAAACAAGACTGACACAGGTGTAACATGATTTTTTGTTTGGCTAAAACCTATAGTGCAACATTGTACATCAACATGATAGTGCAAATGTACATTTACATTTCGTCACCTTGGAATTATAAGGTTCTATCTGCAATTTTTGTCGAAGTTGAGTTATTCACATTATTATTCTGTGTAGGGCTAGCCGATATGGGCAACAATTCGTATCTCTGTATTTTTTTGGCCGATTTGTGATATACTGTATATATCTCTGTATTTTTGTTTTTGTATTTGAATTTTTAAAAAATCTGTATTTAATATACACTGAACAAAATTATATACACCTACAACCTGATCAACTCTATGCGAAGGAGATGTGAGGCACATGGTGGTCACACTAGATACTGACTGGTTTTTGGAACCCCCCCCGGACCCCCCAATACAGTAAAACTGCACATTTTAGAATGGCCTTTTATTGTGACCAGCCTAAGGCACACCTGTGCAATAATCATGCTGTCTAATCAGCATCTTGATATGTCACACCTGTGAGGTGGATGGATTATCTCGGCAAAGGAGAAGTGCTCACTAACACAGATTTATACAGATTTGTGAACAATATTTGAGAGAAATAGGCCTTTTGTGTACATAGAAAAAGCCTTAGATCTTTGAGTTCAGCTCATGAAAAATGGGGGCAAAAACAAAAGTGTTGCGTTTATAATTTTGTTCAGTGTATATATATATTTCACTTACATCCCAATGTTGTCCAACAAAACAATACATATTAAGGGCTATGAAAACAAATAAAGTGAATGTAATCATGTAAGCCTTTATATACACATATAATATTATTATGTGCAAAAAAGGGTTAAAATCACATTTCATTCTAACATTGTAACATTGCAATCTAAAAACAAAAATAACGCTTTTAAAGCAGAAGTTAAATTCACTAAACTAAAAATTAAAATAAATGAGAACAAAAGCACAGAGTTGTGTTAGGCTATTTTGATTACCCCATTACAGTCACTTTACAG